CTGCTTCTAACAATGTTCGTCAGGTAGACAGAATTATAATGAGCCAAATCATACCAGTAAGTTCCTAGGTGTTTAAGTAGAAGGAAAATGGACTTACTCTCTTTTTACTTCAAGACGTTTCACCTCTCATCCGAAAAGTCTTTTCAGTTCTAAACTAGGTTGGAAGTAACAGGCTTTTAAATTGTATTCAAAACAATCACACTAATAAGGCCACTAAAGTCTAATCAGGCAATTAGGACAAGTGAGTCACTGGTCCTACCCTCTAGTCAGCTAAATTTTTAGGTGGTTGTTGTTTGAAGAGCCAAACATATGCCCAATGATGCCATTTGAGTTGTCTTGAGAAAACTGTATGTCCCAAGGTGTGAATTGCTGAAAAACCTCCTGGAGAGACAAGTCAGGGATACAAAGCTGAAATCTGACGCCACCTCCTCTATTTAGTGTTGGCTTTTTATGTTATAGACTACTTCTTTCACTCCTCCCTCAAACCACCAGTCTTCCCTGTCGAAAAGGTGCACATTGCTTTTTTCAAACGAAGGGTCACTTGTCCTTGAGACGTAAATGAACCACAGATTTTTTAACCCCTTAGTTTGTTGTTCTTTGTTGGCCATCCATTTTTGTAGCTGCTGTTTAGTTTCTCCAGTGTGGAAGTCTGAACAGTCCTCGCAACAGACTGTATATACTACACCTCAAAGCTTATGTTGGGTGTTTTATCCTTGGGATGAACCAGTCTCTGTCTGATATTGTGTTTGAGGTAAAAATGCACTGAAATATAATACTTGGAGAGCAGCCTTCTTAGATACTCCAGCCACATATGAAATGACAATGTTCTTCAGCTTCTTCTCTAACAAGAGAATAAGTCCAATTGCCTTTTACCTAAGCACTTAGGATTGTCATGTCCTGGATGACTGGGAATCTACGTTTTTGTATACCAATAAGCCCCACCTTCTCTGCACCTTCAGTATGATCCGTACTATGAACATCAATCCAGTCCACACCAGACAGAAGAAACTTATTATGTGGAATCTAAATCAAATCTGTTAAACAAAGCCTTTGTTTTTTGTTCTGCAGTGAAAACATCATTATTCATTATTGTTTTTGTTGTTAGCATATATTCTTAGGTGAAAAAAGTACACCACTGGCTAGTATCCTTAAAGTGCATGTAGTGGATCAGCTACTGTATAAGAAGTACTTGTAAGATGACAGTTTGCACGTGAACCTATCTCAATAATCACACGTTTACACATACACCCCCACATACAAGCTGTTTGCACATTTGTGTCAATGGAGAACTCAAACGGCATCTGCAGCCTTTAGACAAACAGAATAGTTTATTATCTTCATTTATCCCTAGACAAACTGGACCCTGGAGTATGTTTTATTATGTCTTTTAACACTCATAGTGGACTGCACATATATGCACACTCACAGATCACTTTCAGACTCACTTTCAGTCTATTTAAAAAGGACTTAATCTAAGACAAATGGAAATATTGATTAAAGGCAAGATTGAGCATTCATTTTCTTTGGATTCCCTTTTAATTTAGGTTTTTACCATGGTATTAAATATTTCCAGATATAAAAATGGCTAAAGCATATAGGTGATCAATATGACGATATTTAATTGTAAAGGATTAGAACACAATAAATAAAATAAGAAAGAAGTATGATTTGATTCATTTCAAATAAGGAGTCTGTTTTTGGATCAGATGATTGGAACATCAATTTTTATAAGTTTTGTTTTAACCATTGTTTATTCTATTAGCACTGGAAATAGTTGCCAATCTCAATTGTATCAACTTATTTAACAAAATCAAAACGCTGGGATTTTTTGCTGTATGTCTTTTACATGTTTATTTGTACTGTGCTGTAGATATCTGGCTAATATCTAAATTGTGTCAGTTTTAACACTGAAGAAAACCTCTAAGACTATCGGTACCAGCAGAAAAGAAAGGACAGATAAAAAGCTGCACTGACTGTGTCAGCAATGCCTTTTCTTTTATTTCTTCCTGACAATACATCATGCAAAGCTGTCTTCAATATATGACTGAATCATGAATGTAGGAATGTTTCAGTCTTTTTAATTTTATGGATATGACCTGTGTCAGTCACCATTCAGGTTTTAAGAGACCATTTATTTTCAACCAACTAAATTCAGGGACAGTTATGGGAGAATAAAAAGGGGAAAGATAGGCAGCAAAATGGGAGCGATGCCATGAATAGAAAGCTGGATGAATGAAGTGTTGGGCTGCAAAATGAAGGAAAATAAGGTGGAAGATGGTCGCAGACTGAGGACAGACAGTCTGTTTAATGCACAGTCCATATAGCCTTTTTTATCTCCTCCCACTCAGTCACTTTCTTTCTCACTCCCTCATCCACATGCAGGTCAGCTGTGAGAAAAGGATGGGGGGAGAAAAAGATAGGAGGGAAAAAGGGACTGTGGCGGCAAGCGAAGAAAGATAGAGCATCCTGCACTCTCCTGCCAATCAGTCTTCTCTGTCAAGCATTGCAACGTGTGCCGCTTGCTACGAGTCATGCAGAGACCCTTCCATTTAACTCGCCTATGTAAAAGGTTTTCTCAGAGGCCTAAAGGAGGTGAGTGCCAGGGACTAGATAAGGTCCTGTCCTGTATACCTGATGGGCCCTGCCGCAGGGAGGGAGGGTTGGAGTAGAAGAGCCAAAGAGTCTCCAACAAATACTTGAGGGGAAAGCTGTGAATGCACAAGGTAACACCCAGAGGATGGGAAAGAGGAAAAGGAAAAGGGCAAGACAGGAAATGTCCGTTTTTCTTTTGATGTGTTCATAGCTTAATTACCTGTTCTGTTGGCACTTATTTGTTTCTTCAACATAAAATAATATCTTTCTCTACATTTGACCTTCTTGTAAAAGCTTCAAGTGTGCTTTTCATTTTTTTTGTTTCCAGGTTAGTCTTTCCTTCTTGTTTATTCTGTCTGTAATTTTTAATTAAGTCTAAAGCTGCTTTTTCAAGTTTGATCCTAAAGGCAAATAAATCTCTCAAAATGAACAACATACATATAAGGAAGCCATTGTTTAAATTATTAGCATTAATTTTTACTACCATCATAGAGAAAATAAATTATAACCTCTTCCATTTATAAGTTTCAAGGCAAAATAAAAGCCATCAGGTCCTAAACATGTTCTGAAAGTATTTACTTAAAGCGTACAAAAACACAACATATCCCACAATATCAGTATTTATTAAACAAAGATGAGCCAAAATAGAGTATGTGACAGAGCCTTGCTACTTCCATGCGATTTGAGAGGGAGAGAAGTAGCCCGGTGGCTGCAAACTAAAGCACTTAATTGATCATTACCAGGTGTCACCACCCTATAAAAACAGGAGTTTGGCTGTTTGTAGCGCTAAAGTACACAGGTGTGTGTGTGTTACAACAATGTCAAGCAAGGAAGACATCACCAATGACCTTAGAGAAGTGATCGTTGCTACCATTCATTTAGAAAGGTTTTTTCAAACTATTTCAAGTCCATTATTCTACAGTGGGACAGTTGTCAGTCTTCCTAGGCGCAACCCAGCTAATTTACATTAATGTCAAGCATGTAACAATCAAAGAAACTGCAAATAAACAAAACAAAACAAAACAAAACAAAATAGAGCTTTACCTGCAAAATTGCATCTGAAAGAACCAGAGGACTTCAGGAGCAATGTTTTTAGACAAACTAGAGATGCTTGGCTACAATGCACAGCACAATGTGTAGCCAAATACCAAATTCATCATATCAGTTGGGGTTGTTTGGCAGCCACAGTTCCGAAGGCCAAGTGGCTTGGAAAATGATACATAGTAATGCGAATGGTGTGTATAATGTGATTTTAACGTGTCTTAACTCCGTTGTTTTGTTTTCCTGTAAAGCATTTTGAATTGCCGCGAGTATGAATGGTGCTGTGCAAACAAACCTGCCTTGTCATATGTTATTATGCAAATAAATCTGTCTGAGAAGCGTCTCTTAAATGCTGCTCCATCACATCTGAACTCCCATCTGCTGACTCTCAATTTGATTTGTAGTTTAACACTTGCTTAACAATTAGACATATATATTCTATTATCATATAAATCATTGCCTTATTTATCACACTACCTCCTTAATTATGTCAGGTTTGTTAAGAGAGAGTAAATCTTGAGAAAGCAGTGCAATGCAACAAATCTATTTACTTTTCTGGAAACATACTTCTACAGAAACCTGCTTATGTGATTTTTCTTTATTTCTAGATACAATTAGAAGAAATGGGAAAAGCACCCTTACTTTTTTCTCCAGTATTTCTAATTGTTCTTTGTAGAAACTGGAAACGGTGGCAAGCTCCTGTTCTTTCCACTCCAACCGTTTAGCCTGGGAAAGAAAAAAAACAAGAAAGAAACAGAGATTATGCATCGAGGACAGCAAAGATAAAAATCTAATAAAAAAAAAACATCATTAAAAATGATAAAAAAAGAAAAATGCCTTTTCTAGACATTCTTCACATGCAGCCATGAAAATGCCACATAAATGGACTTGTGCAAGTATTGATTTTGAACTACCAAGGAAATGAGAAAAGTCAGAAAATAAATTCTGCTTTTAAATACCAAGTATCTTTAGAGTACCTTGAAAAGTATCCCTACCTCCTCAACTTACAACTACAGCCTTCAACATATTTTAATGGGAACTGTGACAAACAAACTCCTGTCTACTTGTCAGGTGGAAAATGATAGATGTTTTTTTAAATTGTCTTCTTGTCCAAATAGAAATCTGAAAAGTTAGACATGCATTTCTTTTCACCTCAGTTGGTCAATGCTTTGCTGAACCACCTTTCAATGCAATGTCCCCGCGACCCACTGTGTCGCGGGGAAGCTGGTGCCTGCCTCCAGCAGTCTATGGGCAAGAGGTGGGGTACAAACAACTATGCACACACTCATTCATACAAGCAATTTACAGAGACCAATTAACCCACACATGCACAGGGAGAACATGCAAACTCCATGCAGAAAGACCCCTGGCTGGGAATCGAACCCAGGACCAACCCAGGACCAGGAGCAACAGTGCTACCAACCGCACCACAACCCCGCAATTACACATCTTCTTCTTCATATGGCATTCTATTAGGGATCAAGTGCTCAGGTAATAGTTCTCAAGTTGACTGATTTTCCCAGCAGAGCTGTGGACCTATCCATCACCTGCAGAGGGCCTTTTGGCTGCTTCAATGAATAATGCTCTCCTTGGTCCTGCCAGCATAGGTGGACGACCATGCCTTGGTAGGCTTGCAGTTGGTGCTGTAGTCTTACCACGTTTAGATGATAGAATGAACGGTGCTCCTTGAGCTGTTCAAAGCTTAATATGTTTTATAACCTAACCTAAATGTGGACAAGTTACGGTGGTAAGAATACCTTTGCAATGCATTGCAAAATGCATTGTTATTTAATTACAAAGCATCTACACAGAAGGCAATATTAGCAAGTTCAAGTGGTTTAGAAATGATAGTCAAAGACTGGCTTCTGACAGACTGAAAATACTGCTGAATAGGACTGAGGACTCTAAACCTGATTACATACACATGGCCACTTGATGCAATTGTATGCAGTAGAACAGTATTTGGAGGTGTTTGCTGAGCTTATATTTCAGATTACTACTGTGTTCCCCACAGCAGTGAGTGCAACTGTTGCTACAAATGGTAAATCAGATTTTAAACACACAGCTAGGCTTAGAAGAGTAGCTGTATGATGCAGAAGATAAATACAGTTATCTGCTTTGAATGAACAAAATATTTGCATGTTGAAGGAATCAAATACAAATTTCGTCTTATAAGTATTCAGTTAGAAAACTACTGGATATGTGTTTCTGGGTAACATAATATCTTTTTTTTACAAGTGATATTCATTCATTTAAAGTTTCAAAAGTCCCAATAAAATAAGCAAGGAAATCTGTACACTAGAATCCATTAAACATATATCACAAAGCAGCTCTGAGAACACCCATTTGGTTGTACACCAACACCACCCAATGACACTTACAAAACTAGTGAGGTTGCATGAAATTGGCACAGCTGTGGCAGGAGGCGACATGGTGTTGCTGACATTAGCAGGAGGTGAAAGCCTTTAATAAGCCCACTGAGCCAAGCTTTGACAGGCAGCAAGATGGTGGACTGGCTGAAGGAAGACCCATAGTTTGGGCCGTGGCAAAGCAGCATGCAGGAAGAGGAAGACAGAAGGCAGATGTAGTAAAAAAAAAAAAGACACTTTGAAAATATGCTGGCAGTTTAGCTTAAAGATGGATACATGCATGCACGGTTGATGATAAAGTGAATCTGTTTCAAAAGCATAGGAGCATACAAACTATCATTTCAAAAATATGTAATTACAAAGAACTTCATGAATAAACATATATTCAAATAATATATAGATAAAACCTGCAACATAGCTTAAAAAGGAAAAGGTAACATAAATTAATAACTAATAATAAATGTGCATGACTTTTGTATGACCAAAGGTTAGGGAGCACTGTCAATTCATGGGACAGCTGACTGTTAACACACTCTGAACTTCCCAATGCTGAGAGACATGTTCACTGCGACATTTCTCATAGGGCTATTCCAATCAATTTAATTACATTTAAATGAATTAAATGAATTCAAAAGAAAATGACTGGATTGATAAGTTAAATAATGTATAAATTTCTTTCTGTAACATAAAAGCAATTTTTGGAACATCCCCTCTGGCTGCATAATTTTGTATCTGTTAATGTATGAATCTTTGTCCTCAGAGAATATATTACAAAGTATATTAAAACTCAGTAAAAATGAATGTTTAAAAATCAAATGCAAATTAAATAAACACCTTTACATTCTGGGCTGCACAGTGGTGCAGTTGGTAGCACTGTTGCCTTGCAGCAAGAAGGTCCTGGGTTCGATTCCCGGCCAGGGGTCTTTCTGCATGGAGTTTGCATGTTCTCCCCATGCAGGCGTGGGTTCTCACTGGGTACTCCGGCTTCCTCCCACAGTCCAAAAACATGACTGTTAGGTAAATTGGTCACTCTAAATTGCCCTTAGGTGTATGAATGAGTGTGTGGTTGTTTGTGTGTTGCCCTGCGATAGACTGGCGACCTGTCCAGGGTGTACCCCGCCTCTCGCCCATAGACTGCTGGAGATAGGCACCAGCTTCCCCACAACCCACTATGGAATAAGCGGTAGAAAATGACTGACTGACCTTTACATTCCCTGTAGGCAAAGAGAACAATTCAGGACATATTTTAACAGTTTAGAAATCCAATAAGTATTTGACAGCAAAATTGTATCACTTTAGAAACAGACAACACCATCCATATTTACTGGCACCACTGCTGAAGATGTGTAAAAAGTCTTACATTACATCCTCTTTAAATGCAGCAGCATAATCTCACCCTGAAAAATGTCCAAATATCCAACCCTTAATTTGAGTACATTTATATAGGGGGAGAAAAAATCCATGTTAGGAAATATGTGATTTTTATCAAAAATCAATGCGGCTTTCTGTTAATACTTTGTGAAACATGTGGAGTATACAGAGAAAGGGGTCAGTTGCTTTTTGTGCACTCTTCTTTATTATCGGTCCAGGGGACGGAGAATGAAGAAGCCTGTGTTGATTTGGCCAAAGTATTTTGGATCATTATCCTGCTGAAAGACTCAGTTATGACCCATGTCCAGTTTTCAGATGGAAAACAACAGATCGTATTTCATTTTTTGTTTCAAAGACCTCATTATTTCGCGCCCTCTGATAAGGTTCCCAGGGAAAAACAAGACAGGCCCACAGCAGGTTCTCCCCATACATTATAATGAGCATAAGGTGCTTTTTCATATATTTCCGTACTTTATTTCACACCAAACATGCCTGGAGTGTTTGTTACCATAATGTGGATGTGGACAGCATCAAATGGTTGCAATGGAGACCTTACACCGAGATGCCAATCGTTGCTTTAGTTCTTTGGAGATTGATTTCTCCTCTTTTACCATCCTGCTCACGGTACATGGTGGCAAGATAAATATGAGTGCAAGTCCAACCTGGCGGCCAGTGGCTAAGAGAAACAGGGCTCTGTGTCAAGTCATGGAGCACTAATTAGAACGTCTTCAATGTTTTTGATCAACTTAAAAAAAAAACATGTTGCAATAATGCTTCAGTTACATTTTAAAGGGACTTTAAGGAATACCAAAAGCATTGCCATTCATGATTTTGTTCAAAACAATTATTTATTATTAAATTGTTTTTTTGCCAATTTTTGCCAATTTAAAATTCGCTCAAATTGAAAGTTGGGTATTTCTCAGATTTTTAGTAAGAGAATAATGCTTCAGCAGCAATAGATGAAATCAGGCTTTTTAGACATGTTTACAAGAGACAAGACGTGTGAAGCGTGCTGTATGGTCAGTTTCAGCATGAACACACAGACTGGCTAAATCCTTTCCAGAAAACAAATAGATCTGCTTAGGCTGGTTTATTATACAACTGGATTTTAAAACAAATAGGAATTATAGTTCAAGAAAGAAACTCATGAGTGCATGTTACTTTAGTATTAACATGATACTCCACTTGAACACAAGGAAGCTGGTCTAAAACAGCTAAACACACCAACTGCACATGGATGTATGTAGAATTGAATGGGAAGGAAGTACTATACCAGAAGGACACACATAAATACTATATTATGTTATAATGATGATTAATTCCTTTATTTAAGTTGTGCATTAGTGAGAGTGTGATCAGATGAAACATTTTTCTTGACTAATCAACTCTTCTTCTGTACAGTTTAAAAAATTCAACATGCAGATAAGCAGACATAACATTTATTGTAATCCAATGTAATCTCATTCTAACTTAACAGACACACACATCTGCAATTCCCTACACTGCGCCCTCTCGTTCAACAGCAGCTGTTTGGTGCTTGGAGAAAGTGTGTGTATATGTGCGTTTGCATGTAAAATCTCATCCGCTAGCAGAACAGATGATATGTAATTTTCTAGTTGAATACCTCCCAAAGATTTCTTGTGTGAAATGATGGCGGCAGCACACTTGTAGCCTTGCTTTAAAGCACAATGAAAACATGACATCTAAATAGAGAAAGGTATAGCCGAACTAAGGAGGTAATAGTGTTGTTGCTTACCCACGCATCCAAATCTGCTGGCTAGGAAAGGGAGAAGGAACTGGAGTTAGAGAGGCAATAGATACAGAATTTAAGTAAAAAAGGCACAGGTACTGTAAAGATACAGTTCAGGAAGACGCATCTAGAAACCTTCATAAGAAGGAATCTTGGTTCTGTTCCAGAACCCTTCAAAAATAAGTATGGGTAGTGTTGATGGTGATGTTTCTCATATTTGCATAATTTATTACTTCAACATTACATTACAATCGCAAGAAAGTCCATCTTTTATTTATCTAGCTGTGTTGCTAAAGCAGCAAACTCATGCTTGGGGCACTTCGTTTAAAACCTTCAGAAAACCAGACTTATATCCATCTGCAAAAACGGTCCAAGGTATTAATGATGTAGCTTGGTTCCAGTATAGCTGCTGCTATGGTACTATGACCCAAGTTGCCATGTTGTGTGTACAGAGTCCACAAATAAATACTTCTTGTCAAGATGGCCGACAATACTGCATTAGAAAAGCAATTAATTAGGCTTAACACCTTTGAAATCACCTCAGTAGCAGCATTTAGGGGGTTCTGTAGAAAACAAACCTGTTGACATAGTGACAGACGACATACAAATGTCAGAATACTGAGATCGGCTTACCATTAGCTTCTAATGATGCTAGAGCTAACACATGCTTCACAGCTTCGTAAACTAAAAAGGTTTTTCACTGTTTAACTGTTGTGGTTTACGTGATTAAAACAGTCGAGCTGCTGTGAGTTGTCTGACAACTAATATAGCCTCTGTATTTTAGTTGGTTAAATATTTGGTTGCACATCAACAAATGAATGGCACAAAGACTGCATTTTAGCTCAAATGAAACTAAACTTTCTTTGGTTAGGATGTTCAGAGTGAACGAGTGAAGTCTGGATCTGCATTTCTTCATCTCTAGTTGATCAAACATGAACTGGATAA